CATGTACAGAGAATGTACTGCTGTGTGTAGTAGTGGAACCAGTTTCTCCAAATTAGTATTTTAACATGTACAGAGAATGTACTGCTGTGTGTAGTAGTGGAACCAGTTTCTTTAAATTAGTATTTCAACATGTACAGAGAATGTACTGCTGTGTGTAGTAGTGGAACAAGTTTCTTTAAATTAGTATTTCAACATGTACAGAGAATTAACTGCTGTGAGTAGTGGTTGGAACCAGTTTCTCCAAATTAGTATTTTAACATGTACAGAGAATGTACTGCTGTGTGTAGTAGTGGAACCAGTTTCTTTAAATTAGTATTTCAACATGTACAGAGAATGTACTGCTGTGTGTAGTAGTGGAACAAGTTTCTTTAAATTAGTATTTCAACATGTACAGAGAATTAACTGCTGTGAGTAGTGGTTGGAACCAGTTTCTGTAGATTAGTATTTCAACATGTACAGAGAATGTACTGCTGTGTGTAGTAGTGGACCCAGTTTCTTTAAATTAGTATTTCAACATGTACAGAGAATTAACTGCTGTGAGTAGTGGTTGGAACCAGATTCTGTACATTAGTATCTCAACATGTACATAGAATGTACTGCTGTGTGTGTAGTGGTTGGAACCAGTTTCTGTAGATTAGTATTCCAACATCTACAAAGAATGAGCTGCTGTGATTGCTTTTCTAAGAATGCATTTTTCTAAAAATTTCATTCTCTAGATTCTAGAAATTTAGTGATTACAAATTATACTTGGATTAAACCATTAAAAGTAATTTAGAAACTTGTGAAATAATGTATGATACTATTTATATTAACTATGATTGTTAATCATATTTTTTGGTCTTAGATATAATGACCAATATGAACATCTGTTGTGAAAGTGAGTTTCCTGAATGTCATGTTTTAAGACAAGAAAAACTTTTTTACAGAAGTTCTGCAAGTCAGAAAGTGATGTTTGTGGAAAAACAAATTTAAATATAAATAATATAAAATAATCTAATATACACCAGATTACGGATAAACCATACAGTCAGGTAATCTGTGGAAATGAGTCCGTAACAGTGGATTACCAAAAACAAGACTCAAGGATACATACTGAAGAGAACCCATATCTTTGTATAGCTTAAAAATAAATAAGAGTATACACACTGAGGAGAAACCTTACAATTGTACAGTTTGTGGGAAACACTTTGGAACAAACAGTACCTTAAAAATACATCAAGGAATACATATTGAGGAGAAATCTTACAGTTATACATTTTATGAAAAACACTTAGAAACAAACAGTACCTTAAAAATATGCCAAAGAACACATACTGGGGGGAACCTTATAGTTGTATAGTTTGTGGAAAAGACTTTTTAACAAACGGTGATATTAAAAATGCATCAGATGATACATACTGAGGAGAAACCGTGCAGTTGTGTAATTTACGGTAAAAACTTTAGAATAGATGGGGAGTTAAAAAGCATTAAAAAAAATACACACTGGGGAGAAACTTTACATTTACGTAGTTTGCGAAAAATACTTTAGAACAAATTATGATGTTTGTGAAAAACAGTTTTGATGTAACTCTAATTTAAACATGCATCAAATAATACATGCTGGAGAGAAACCATACAGTTGTGAAGTTTGTGGAATAAAATTTTGAAGGAACTCATATTTTAAAATATGTCGGAGAATAAAACTGGGGATAAACTTTAAAAGTAGTGAATTTTGTGCAAAACAATTTCTAAAGAAACAATTAATTAAAAATACTACCTAGAGTACACACACACACTGGGTATATACTATACAGTATTGCAGTTTGTTGAAACAGTTTGGAGTCCAGGCCGACCTTTGGAGGGTGTGAGGTCTGAGGCGGTTGCATTAGTGGCTTTGTTCTAAGGACAGCCCTGTTTAGTAAATTAAAAATACACAGAGAATGTACATTGTTGATAAGCAGTATTGTTGTCTACTGTGTTGTGAAGAATTTCAAATGAATGTAGAAATTGTTTAAAATATTTTGAACCACATTAGACAGGATTAAGTGTATGGATCTATTTTTGATGTCCTTTGATACTTTTAGTTGGGAACTCTTGTATTTAAGGGTGTGAAGTGTTTATCATATGATGATCTGTTTATATGTTGTTATTATACTCTCCAGTTCTCTCCTCTATCTCGGTGTTTGTGTGTATTCTTCACAACACTAAAGGTTGTTGTGGTCTAGGTATGTTACTTTCCTGTCCTGGTGTTCATCATTTGGTGATCTGTTTATATGTTATTATTATACTTCCTTGTTCCATTCTCCATATCAGTGTGCTTGAGTATTCATCAAAACATTAGAGGTTGTTGTGTTCTAGATTTGTTACTTTCCTGTCCTGGTTTTATCATATGATGATCTGTTTATATGTTATTATTACACTCTTCAGTTCTCTCCTCTATCTCTGTTTATGTATTCATCACAACACTAAAGGTTGTTGTGGTTTAGGTATGTTACTTTCTTGTCCTGGTACTTGTTGTAAATATTAACAACAGCAATCTATAGACATGACACTATGCTTATTGTGACATTAAAGTTACTTCTACACCGATCTTACAGTATTTTTATTGTTGCAGTAATATTTGATGTACATAACTGTAACTACATGTTACAGCATTGAAACTGCTTTTTTCTTAGTTTTTGGTTTTAAAATAATATTAGTTTGTTGGATGTGTTTAAATAGTTATATGTCTGTTTATTCTATATAACTAACTTTGAAATATTATATTTATATCATCATATTTTAAATTAGTCAACTGGAAACAATATGTAGACATTTAGTGAGTAGGGGTTGTTAGGAGAGAATGACTAAGCAAGAAAAGGCTCACAACATCTTAGAACAAAGTACTTGTTTTATTTAGACTCTTAAAATATGTAATATGGTTTCATATCTGTCATACAAGAACATTATTTCTCTTTCTATCCCAGCAGAAAGTTAAAGTTCCACTGTAAATGTATATGTCCTAGCCAGTTAATAGAAACTTACATTATGTATGAATAAAGACTTTATTTATCTACTTGTGTTTCTAGTTATTCGGTGCTCATACTGTTTATGATTATTCTCTGCACTTTACTGGTAATTGATACTTTACTGGTGGATGTTAGTGTATCTATAAAACATGTAGAAGTTATACATTGTATGGTATTGGATTATGATTTAGTGAAGCATGATTTATATTCAGGCTTGTTACAGACAAATCTATATTATTTATACTTCTACCAACAGGAGAAGGAGGTTCCTTACTAGAAAGATCTTTACATATCATTTTGAAGTCTGGTCTAGTAAAAGAGGAACAAGAAGAGAAGTATGGAGCAACAGAGAAAACTGAGGTAGTTTGTAAACTAAAGAATGTACAATTTTGTTATTGAAGTGATCATATAAATGTAATGATGTCTTTTTGGGTTTAGTTTGACTAGAACTGAATCATTGTTCAAATGTTCGAAGTCACAATATTAAGAAATTCACAACAACTTTAGTAAACTTTTCCCTACTGCTGTTTCACTGTTATTGTATCATTAATGATAGAAGTCCACAGACATTACTGTTCTTATGAAATGGGAAGAAATTTTCTAACTGAGTAGTTTATTTTCAACAAATGGAGATTAGTAAATTAGTATTTCAACATGTACAGAGAATGTACTGCTGTGAGTAGTGGTTGAAACCAGTTTCTGTAGATTAGTATTTCAACATATACAGAGAATGTACTGCTGTGTGTAGTAGTGGAACCAGTTTCTTGAAATTAGTATTTTAACATGAACGGAGAATTAACTGCTGTGAGTAGTGGTTGGAACCAGTTTCTTGAAATTAGTATTTTAACATGTACAGAGAATTAACTGCTGTGAGTAGTGGTTGGAACCAGTTTCTTGAAATTAGTATTTTAACATGTACAGAGAATTAACTGCTGTGAGTAGTGGTTGGAACCAGTTTCTTGAAATTAGTATTTTAACAT